ACAGCTGTTTTAATTTCCTGTTCTTTCTCACAGTTTTTGTAATGTAATTGGCCATACATTTTTGAGCTGTAGTGTTGAATGGAGATACACGTAAAAGTTTACAATTAAAACTTATACAGCCTAATGCTGTGAATTGTATATATTCCATATGGAATTAATTATACTAATTTTACCATCCAGGTGGCTTCCATATGCAGTATATAGTACTGCAGCCATTGTGGTCATGGAGCTCTTGTTTCATTCCAGGTATTCCTTCCACTGCTCTGTAGGAAACAAGATTTTTCTGTTGTCTGCAGTTCCACCTTCATGACTGTTTACTCACAGTCTCTCTATTAGAAGTGAAAATCACAAGATATGATTCCTGTGCATTGTCACACTTTTTTTTAAATTCTGAATTCTTTTCAGTGATTTTTCTCTTGCTTACTGATTGTATATTGGAAAATTGTTTACTTGATTATTTAACAGTCTGTGTGCTTTAGTAGGGCCTTGATTTTTTTTTTTTTTTTAATTATTTTTTTTGAGCTTTGATGAAACACAACTTGATTATCAGGTCAACAAGTAAACTAAGGCATCTCCATTAGAACTTAGGTTGAGTTTCACAGTGAATGTCAACCCTTGTCAAGTCTAAATTTTAGTTTAGTGATGTCTTTTAGGTTTCTGGGCTATTTCTGCACTAAGAAATAGTGCCTGGGAGGAAGGTCCTGGGTGTTGAAATACAATTTGTACTGTAAACTCCTAAGAGTGTTCTCTTGCATTCTGATGGGCGCTAGCTATCAGTTTTCCGAAGAGCTTTAGGCAGAGTTTGACATTGAGAATGTTCCAGGTACTGCATTACCCGGGTTTTGTCAAACGTTTTTAATGGCTTGGAGGGTATGCTAGGATAGTTATAAGCTGTTCTGTTCCAGTTGGCCTTTACTGTCAGAAATTGCTCCCTGGACACTTAAGTGTGTTGGTGCCTACAGAGTGGTAGAGTCTAAACAGATCACTTCGTTGGCAGCAGTCCTCAGTTCACTGTGCCTTTCAGGCCTCAACTCACTGAAATCAACAAACTGGAAGTTTTCCCATCTGAGGTTCTGTGGGGATGCAGTCCAGCCAGAGTGCTCACACTGGGGTGATGAGGATCTTTACACAAATCATCTGCATGTATCTTCTTCTGGAAACATACTGTTGATAACATCTGTGTCTTAACCTGATTATTTACTCTCCTGCTACTAGCTTTCCAGTGCCCCTGTAGTTGAAGGGCTTTCAGATGTACATCATCCAGTTTCTGTGGGAGAGCTATGAAGTTCACATTAAGTATTACGATAACTGTCCCTTCAAGTGGAGGCATACCTTTAGGCAGTAAAGGACTGAATATTAGCATGAAGAACGGAACAAGTCATTTGTTGCAACAGTTGCCTGGGTACAGTCAGATCTAACTTGGTTTAATGCTGAATATGTGAAGCTGATTGGAGAGCAGTGACCAGAACATGGGTTCACTGCGCTGCCTGGAGAATGCCACTGTGTTACTTGTGGTGGCACTTTGGAAAGTACTTGCTCTCATGTTTGTCCTTTATCATTCTTTTTATTTATAGTATTTGTTGCAATAATGCAGTGCAAGAGCAGAAGACTTGTTACATTTAGTGACTGGGGATTAATAATAGTTTCCCTGTACTTTTATTCATAAACCCCCTTTTAATTAACTGAGATAAGCCTGTACGTATAATCGTTCTGCTTGAATAGAGAGATGACGTTCTCCTTTATGGCAGAATACTTTGCTATTCTGATTAACGGTAATACAAATGAAATTGCTTACTGCTAGAATTCTTATTGCTGCAGTCTTTCTATATGAATTATTGTTTTGTTAGAATTGTTAGATAAAATGGTTTGAGTGGCACTAATCTAGTGGTGGAAGAGTCTGATTCAGTTTGGGATGGCTGTTCCACCTGATCACATACCTACTTATTATTATTCTTGAGTAATTCTCTTGTGTTTCTGTTCTGAAAGTGAGTTCAAGCTTTAGTCTTTTCAAATCTAGTGTGCTTCAATGAAAGGCTGTGGGTTTCATAACTTTGAGTATTTGCGGGGAGGATCTACTTGCCTAATTAATCTAGGTCTCTAGGTGTCAGTTTAGGTGGTAAATGTGTTCTTGCCACTTCAGAATGACAGAAATCTCCTGCATCCTGTGTCACATCTGCAGTCCTGATGTAGATGACTCATTCTGAAGTGTCTCATATGCTACTGGATGCCTTTTCTTAAGCACCTAAATTGATGTCTGTGTGTCAGAAACATTTCTAATGAATTCTGTGTCAGTGTAAAAGTTCTTGGTATTTCTTAGAAGAAAAAATACTTGAGTTTGAATGTAATGCAATTCATGAGAATGAGTTACTGTTCCAAGTTCTGTCCTGCTGACACACTTCAGCAGTGATTAGAAAATCTCAAATTTCTCCAGTGAGAGGGAAAGGTATCTGCCTCTGAACAAGTTAGTGCTTTGTAGTGGTCTCATATGGCATGAGTTCACATAGAGGTGACATATGGTTGCTGTCCTATCGATGAGATGTAGTTGACTCATGATTTTAAGATGACTGTCGAAAGGATTATCTAAGCAGTTGCATAATGAGTTATAAGTGAAGGACTTGGCATTTTTAAGCTGTCATTGTAGCGGTTAATGTGCAGGAGTAGTATTTTCACATATAGGTTTGATTTATTTTATTTTTTTTTAGTATTTGTTGTTTAGGTTTTTCATAACAATCCTTGAATAATCTCTTTGATTTTTTTTTTTCTCTGAGTACTCCCAGTATTTCTTTCATTTGCTTGTCTTCCATATGCTTAGAGCAAGTTTTCTGACAGCCTCTTGCTGAGCTCTCATAAAATAATGTTGTGTCCAAGTTGAACATATTACAATGTAAAAATCATAAATTACAAACCAAGCATACTGCAGGTTAAAAAGAAAAAAACCCCAACAAACAACTGTGTTTTCTAGGTACTACAGCTTCAAGAAATTGTGGGTTTTAGGAGTGAAGCTTTAGTGTTCTAACTGAGATTAGAATTAAACTTGAGTTTTTCGAAGGGTACACCGTTGTAGTGGTTTCCTCCTGGTTTGACACGTGAAGAGTTCTAGTTGAGGAAGTGGTCTAAGTTGCACACTGTACTTGAAAAAAAGATACTTTAATTACAGGAGTGGGTAGTGCTAAATGGCAGACTTCTTGAGTGCGCAACAGTGAATTTTTGCAGAGAGGTTAAGAATAGCAGAACAAGCAAGTTAGAGCAAGCTGCGGTTGCTTTGCCAGCTAGCATATTTTGTACTGAATAATACTGAATGCTGCAAGTCAGGTTGGGTTATTACCATCAAACGTACTAAGGAAAAAATACTGGTAAGTAACTAAGTATCTGCTGTGTTCCTCTTGACTAGTCTACTATCTGCTCATTTGCAAGAGTTGGATCTGTAAAGCTTTTGCTTTACTCCTTGGGTGTCTAATCACCCAAACCTGCTGGTTTAGACTTGTTTGGGTTTTCATTTTCGCGTGACTTTAAGATTTGCTAACTAGTAAGTCAAAGAAATTGAAACTCCAGTTTCATCTACAGAATTTGAATATGGAATTTGAATGTTGCCTATTTTAGTAGTAGGAAGAGAATTTTTTCAAAGCTGGCAAATATCAGAAGTATGACTAAAATACTAGAATGATGTAAATACTTTCTGTTAGAAATTACTAGTATCTAATAGATTTTGGAACCATTTCTGCAACTTTATTGCCTTGACTCTGTAGCACTGCTGTTTCTAATGAGTTGTGACACATAAGATTCTCAGGAGTAAGCGGAGTTTAAGCGAGTCAAAGAAAATACATTTAAAAGAGGAGGGTATTGGTTTTTTAAGTGACTAGAACTGGTGTTAAAGGCGATTTTGCTGAATTGTAATTAGTACCAACAGATAAACAGGCAATGCATTTGTCTTTTCCTGCATTTGGTCAAACCTCGGGTATGTGTTTGTGAGGAAGGGGAGTTGTTCAGAATACCCATATCCTTATTTCGTTAGGCTAATTTAAGTGAGCTTTACTGCTGTGTCAATTCCAGCTTTGTATTGTTGCAGTATTTGAGGAGCAATTTTATGATTACTACTAGAAGGGACAATTCCAATGGTGCTACATAGACAGATTCTAGACTATTTGCTAGTAACCTCATGCTGCCCAATAACTAAGGGGTAAGCTAGGCACCCTGTGAGGAGAGTTCTAACCCTCCCACCTACAATGGAGGGAATAATGAACGTTTTTTACTTCCGTCATGATTTGATTGCGACAGTAGTCTCTAATTTTACATATTCTTTCTACATGATGACTGTCTGATTCAGTAACTCTAAATGAGAAATAAGCTAACTATTCTGAGATTAGGGTCTGCCACTAAATTAGAGTAACTGTGAAAAACAGATCTGTTGGTTAAATTCCTGTATTTCATGGGAAGTGATCGGATTATTTCAAAGCTGTAAATGCAACAACAGATTTGGTGTTATATATTCCAGGTAGTTAAATACGTGGGAAAATACGTGAAAAATAAAAATTTGTGGTATCCTGGAAAAGCAATATGTGATATTATAGACCACAGGCTATGTTTTCAAAAGAAGTGATAAAGCAAAGGGCCTAACTGCTCGTATTTTGAATTATCAGACAGAATTTGATTAAAATCTACAACTTGACAGTATTAATTTTCCAAGATAGAAAATGTTCTATCACAGAACAAAGAAGGGAACAGGTTTTTTTCTTGTAACTGCAGATTTTGTTTTTTAACTTGTGTTTCTAACAATTCATCTGTTAATTTTTTTGCTTACCAAATTAAATGTGCTTTTAGAACAACTATGCTTCCTATGAGGAAAAAAAGTATGCTTGTCACCGTGCCAGTTGACAGTCCTCAGGCAAACATGTCTTTTGTTTGCATTGACTAAATTGAAAAATGTGTGGGAATATTAATAGAAATGGGCAGCTGAACTATGAATAGCGTAATATTTTCATTTTTTTGTCAATCATATTTAGACTTGATCGTCTCTTTATTTTATTGGACACCGGTACAACACCAGTAACAAGAAAAGCAGCTGCACAGCAACTTGGGGAGGTAGTGAAACTGCATCCCCATGAACTGAATAATCTCTTATCCAAAGTAAGCATTTTACTTTTTTTTTCCATTCTTTCAATGATGAGAATAAAACTAGTTTTAAAGGGTGTTGATTCTGTGAAAAAAATAATAAAAAGCATAGTAGTCAGTTCTCTGAAAAGAGAAGACTGAAAAAATTAGGGGACTAATTATGTTAAGCCTGCTATTTCATCAACCTCTGAAATGGTTACGTAAGTGAAGTTTCACTTTGTAGTCAGTATTGATATTCCATGTTTGCTGTAAGTTCAAATTTTCTTCTATAAAGAGAATCTCTTCTGCCTTATAAAAATTTCTGCTCCTGTAAAGATTGGTACTTGTGTGATAACAGCATAAAAAAATATAGGAGGCTGCATGTCTTTAAAAGGCCTGGAAAGTGGAAATAGATTTCTATTAGTTTGAGATTTCAATCTGGCCAAGTCTAGTAAAACCACCAAAAATAGCCTGTATATGACAGCTGGAGATGGCTGAGTGACCTCAATTCTGCCCTTATTGAACAGGTGCCCTCACCACAATTGATGGTATCAAGAGAGTGGCTAAGGAATCATGAATATCAAGCCACTTTTGGAGAAAGAAATAGTTTGCCCAGATTTGAGACATAGTGGTAAATTATTTTAGAAGAGCATGTGTTGCTTCAAGTGACCCGTGTTGCCCCTCTTCTTAGGTTAAATGACCTCAAAGTTTAATCTCTTTTGAGCAGTTCCTTTTAGAAAGTAAAAACCAGAAGTCTCAAACCTTGTTCATGGAGGGAATCAAGGTTGAGTCTGACTGATAGGGCTAAATAGATCTTATAAATTCTTAACATCTGGCTGTGGCAAGTTCTGCTAAGCTGTGAGCAATATAGAGAAGCCTGCTTGCATTTCTTTCATTTGTTTTCTTGTCTTTTGGTTTTGTTTTGAAAATTATCTCAATCAATTAATATTAAAAGCATAACATCTGATGGATTTTATGAAAGTACATTTTAAGCAAATATTTATTTATTAATCTCTCCCTAAAGGTGTTAGTGTATTTAAGAAGTACGAATTGGGATACTCGTATTGCAGCTGGCCAAGCTGTTGAAGCAATAGTGAAAAATGTACCTGAGTGGAATCCAACTCCAAGATCAAAACAAGGTATGAATTCTACATAATTAATTTATGTGTTGCAAATTGACTGTGATATGAGACTTTTTAAAGCAGCTGTGTCATTCTGTGTTGTTGTGTTTGGATGGGGTTTTTTGTTATCATAGACTTTTTTATATGCATGGACTGTAGGACTTTTGTATTCAGTTACAACGATGTGCCTGACCTTTGTTTCTTACAAGATTCCTGTGCTTGTGCTTGGTACCCTCATAAAGCTTTTATTTAGAAAAGGAATAAAAACTAGTAGAATGACAAAACTTTCAATTAAATCAACTTGGTCATGATATTTTGCAGGTGCTTTTTCTTTTCTGTTCCCATAATCAAATCACCTTACAGAGGGAGGTGCAATGGCAGCTTGATGAAGTTTATTCTGTTTGTACTCACTTTGCATCTTGAATTGTCATATTAGGGATGTTAAAATTGATTTTATTGTCAATTTATGGACCTACTGTCAATGACTTTGTCTAAATGCATTGGTGCTATATTCACAACTTATGGCATAGGTTCTAGAAATTCAATTTAAAAAACAAAACCAAGAAAAAGCCGCCACAAAAACAAAAAACAAACAAACGCAAAACAAAAAAACATCCTCAAACCCAACCCAAAACGCGTATCTGTTTTGAGGTCATTGCATATTTGTTTCATTCAGTGCCTCCTGGTTTTGTTGCTGTAGAATTTTACAAGCAAATTCTGTATTTGCCTTATCCACTTGCCTTCATGATTTTTGTTAACCGTATTTGCTCTCCTCCAACTTCTTTTCAGATTGAGGAACTGCAGATTCCTTTAGTGCAATTGTGACTTGGTTACCCAAGAGAGTTTAGTGTCATATATACACTTGGAGGAGTGTGTAGTGGAATCTCCATTGCTAAAGTATTGGTTCCCTGAAGGACTCCAAAGCTAACTTTAATCTGTCCTTAACCACTTTTCAGCCTATAAAAGGATGTTTTTATATGGTAACTTAGTTTGATATTTAATTTCTTTTTCATATGAAACTTTGCCAAAAAGTTGGATATATTATATCGACTGGATCCCCTGTATCCATTTGTTGGAGCTTTTTAAGGACATTGATAACCAGATTAGTGAGAGAGGGCTTTTTCAGGAGGCATTCTGACTCTTTC